CCGCAAAGCAAGCCAAGCTGTCCCGCCGAGGTGAGCGAGCTCGCAGGGGAGAGGCGTCCCAGGTCCAAGACCCCGCCGGGAGCCAAGCCTCTTCCCATAGCAAGAAGGACAACCCGACAACCCTCGCCCCCCAGCCTATGGGTAGGACTAGGGCCTCTCAACAAACTAAGCCCGCGTCGCCACAACCCTCACAGTTCGAGCTCCCACTCACAGAGAACCCGTTTTAGGTCTTGGTCACGGACTTCAAACAGGGCCCTTCAATTCAAAGCCGTCACCAACAGTCCGAGCCCATCGAGCTCGGAGACATTGAAGCGTCAAGCGCCAATGCCGAACCGGCAAAGCAGCAACAGCGAAGACGCCGGCGAGCCCGCCGCACCGCGTCCAAAGCCTCTCCCGAGCTCAAAGGGAAAGAGGAGGTATGCTCCGGCGAAGCAAAAGCTACCCCCCTCCTTCCCCGCTATCTCCCAAACTCCTTGTTGTCCCCATGCCAAGGGACTTCAAGCTCCCTCCTTTGGATAAGTATGATGGGTCTTTCGATCCAAACGACCATGTGGACGCCTTTCAGTCCCAGATGCACCTGGCCAGAGCCAGCGAGTCCTGCATGTGCGTGGCCTTCACAACCTTCAGGGGAGTCGCCCGCACCTGGTACCGAAACCTCGCGCCCGGCTCGGTAAGAAGTTGGGCACAATTCGTGCAAATTTTCACTTCTCACTTCATTACCAGCAAGAGGTGCCCGTAGCATAGTGCAGAAAGAAGGGGAGTCCATCCGGAGCTACATCAAGCGGTTCAATGACGCTTGTTTGTAGATACCCGACCTGGATCCTGCAGTTCGCCTCACGGCAGCCAAGCGAGGTATCACTCATAAGGAGTTCAAGTGGCACGTGGTTGTCAACCAACCCAAAACCGTGACTGAGTTCCTTAAGCTCGCGGGTCGGTTCATTGGGACGGAAGAAGAAATCAACCAGAGGGGCGAGCAGGCCCTAGGAAAAAGAAAGAGGGAGTCAGAGCCCCCGTCTCAAAGCGACAACAAGAAGAAGAAGGATGTAGCTCGGGGGGCAAGGCCAGTCCAGCCCTCCCGGGCCCCAGTAGCAGAAAGGGACTACACGCCCCTCAACACCAAGCGGGCCGAGATCCTCATGGCGATCAAGGACGCCCCATACGTTAAGTGGCCGCCTCGGTTGAAGGCCGACACCAACACCCGGAATAAAAATTTGTACTATAGCTTTCATAAAGACCATGGTCATAGTACCGAAAGTTGTAAAAACCTCCGTGATGAGATAGAAGAGCTTATCCGTCACGGATATTTAAGGAATTTTGTAGAAAATAATAGTAATAATAAAGTAGGTCGGCAGGGGGAGCAAGGCAGAGACACCCCCGAATCCAGCCGGCAAGCGGAGCAACCGCAGAAGCAGACCCCCGAAGAGAGACCGGTTCGGGGGATCATCCACGTCATAGTCAGAGGGTCGATTGTGGCGGGTTGCACTTCAGCAGCAGCTCGCGCATCAGCTCGCGAATCCGGCAGGGAAGAGTAGAACCCTCTAACGCAGCCAAGAACAGAGGACCCCATTTTCTTCACCCAGGACAATGCACGCGGGGTCCACTACCCCCATGACGATGCGCTCATCATAAAGATGAGAGTCAACGACTTTGAAGTCAAGCGGGTCCTCGTTGATTCAGACAGTTCGGCAGATATCCTCTTCAAAGCGGCCTTCGACAAACTCTAGCTTCCGGAGAGCGACCTAAAGCCCGCAAACACTCCCTTGGTTGGCTTTAGCAGAGAGGAAGTTCGGCCCCTAGGGAGAATAACAGTACCTGTGGAAGTCGGCACCTAGCCTAGCATTGTAAGGCTCAACCACGACTTCTTGGTGGTCACGACCCCCTCCCCATACAACGCCATAGTAGGTCGGCCGATTACCCATGCTTTACAGGCTGTGGTGTCCACCTACTTCTTGGCCATGAAGTTCCCCACGGACTTTGGTATTGGGGTAGCGCGGGGTGACCAGCTTGAGTCCCGCAAGTGCTATGTTGCCGCCCTCAAGGGAAAAGCTAAGGTGGCCGACGACCTTGAGCTGGAGCGACCTACGGAGCAGAGCAAGGAGCGATCTGCGCCCACGGAGGAGACTGTCTCCATTCCGATCTTGGCAGAGGACCCTACCTGAACGCTTCAGATCGGCGCTTTCGTCGAGGAGCCCCTACGGTCCAAACTGGTACGCTTTTTACTTAAGAATTTAGATGTTTTTGCTTGGTTCGCGGCAGAAATGCCCGGCATAGACCTCGACATTATAACTCATAAGCTTAACACTGATCTTGTAGTTAGGCCCGTTAAGCAAAAGAAACGCAACCTAGCCCCAGAGCGGTGGAGGGCAATCGACGAGGAGGTTGGGAAGCTCCTTGCAGCCGATTTTATCAGGGAAGTCCATTACCCGAGCTGGGTGGCTAACCCCGTTCTGGTGAAAAAGGCTAACGGTAAA